GATGTGCTACAACACTGATTCTGGCAAATTCTTAAGATAAAATTAACTGAGTTTCACTTAGATTCTAGAGAATGTTCTTTTTAGTTGGGATGGACATCTTGTAGAAATTCCATGTAAGGGTAAGAATATTAATCTGACCACCTTGACAAAATAATATCATTTTATAGATGCTAAAAATGTGTTAAACATTACATATATTATCTTATTTAATCCTCATGAGGACTTGAAGGCAAGTTCTAGTACGAGTCTCACTGAAGGTGAAATACAGTGAGATCAAGGAACTTGTCCACGATCATTTGGCTGACTACACAGAAGTTGAAGAGCAATTTTAACCCAGTCAGATTTACTCTAGAATCTGAGCTCTCAATATGTTTTCCTACTTTTCTCAAGGGTAGTATTTTGTTGAGAGATCTAAATTGGCAGGCTAAGGTGTATTAATTTAGAAATATTTATAGGAGGAACTTAACAGGATGAGAGATGTAATAAAGTACTCCCCCTTTGTCTTTAGAATGACACAGTTAAGATAACAAAAAGATGTTTTATTCTTGTACAGAATTGGCAATAGAAAATATGAATGAGGTGTGGAAAGGGAAGGTCTTTATAAAGGAATTATACTGCAGATTTTCTATTTGTAACATTTATTTGTCTTCTATCTGGTTGTCACTGCTATCAACCCCAATGATGGATTCCTTACTGGAATTATCAACAAGGTTGGAAATATTCCATTTATATTTTCTATTATCTCTAAAGAGTGTATTGGGTGGTAGAAATGGATATTATTTGAAAGGATGGTGGTATGTGATTGACAAAACTACTGATGCAATGAAACTAGCTGATTTTTCATATACTGGTATTAATCAAAAGCAAAGTACCATGTATTACGTTAAGTCTGTTCTAAAATGTGTACATTGGACAAAAAATAGGCCTAGGGGTTTGTTCTTTGATTTTATCTATAAATACATGCATATTCAGCATTCTATAATTATTCTCCTAGATTTTAGATCTGTAATAATGAATGGACCAAGAGCTGACTTGGGGAGGGACCACATCACACTCATGGTGATGCCTGCTTGATGCAAAGATGGCTCCTGCAGCGAGTAACCCTTGAGTCAGGATGGAATGTTGATACATTAAGCGCCCCTTCCTTCATCATCAGTTTCTGTTTTTCCTAGGCTCTCAACTAAGATACCTGCACTTTGCAGCATTGCAGAGCAATTTAGACATATGGGGAAATTAATGTCCTATGGGACCATTGTCAATCAAAATGAATCATCAGTCACTAGTTAAATGCTTCTCTCCTAGGCTTCTTGAGCAGAAAACCTGAAATTCCTTTTTATGTAGTTTCTGTGAAGATCCCAGCAAAGGCAAGCAGAACTGCCCATGGAATGTTTCACTCCAAAAGTGCCTTTGTACTTTCTCCCCATCTCTACTGCATTCTCTCTAGGGTTATGCACCTGTTTCCTGAGTGTTGCTGTACTTTGAGTTAAACAACTTGATTGCAATCTTTTTTATTCATGTGCTACTTTCGTGGGGGAATCCACGGCATAAAAGGAACAATATTTATGGGATGAAAGCTGATTGCTAATGTTTGTGGGAGTGAGGGAGTCATGGATTGCATTGTTATATAATGTGGCTTTCTTTCATCAGTTACCTAAGTATGGGTAATCTAGGCGTGTATCCACAATGTATCTATCTGTCATTATCTACAATTCTCTTTCTCCTTAGACAGTCTAAAGTTATATAATTTTAACCACTTCTTCTATTCCAATACTTGTCAAATTGCATCTTCAGTTGTGATATATCCTCGAAGCAACAACATCAGCTGTCAGACATCTGTTTGTCCACATATTACATTCATTTGGAGATCAAACAGGGTTTTTTGTTTTCTCCTCTTCATCTGTCCAAACTAAAACTCTTGCTTACCCCTTGATAATCCTTATGAAATACCCTATAATGTCTCTATTCTTCCTCATGGCATCACCATCTGCCCAACAGTTCAAGTAAATAAAATAAAGGAATCTAAACTCTGTTTCTGGTTCTACCCTGTTAACATTCGTCTCACCAATTCTGTCAACTATATTCACAGAACAAATTCCAAGCTTACATATTTATTTCTATCTCCACTGCCATCACCCTTCGTTAGGACTACCGTGATAGACTGTTTCAAACAGAAACACTTGTATCTGGAGCATCCCAGTGGCTTCCTAAGGCATCTAGAAATAGGCAATAAAACTGGAGCCCTGGACCAGCATTGTGCTGCAGTGGGTTATTTGCTATGCTTGCTATGTCAGCAACCATATAGGCATGCCATTCAAGTCCTGGCTGTTTGGCTTCCAGTGCAGCTTTCTGCTAATGCAAGTGGGAAAGCAGCAGATAATGGCCCAAGAACTTGGGCCCCTGCTGCCTACCGGGGAGACCAGGATAGCGTTCTGGGATCTGGTGTTAGCCTGCTTCAATCCTGGCTTTTGTGGCCACTTGAGGAATGAATCAGAAGATGGAAGATGTCTTTTTCACTTTCTGTGTTTCCCTTTGCCTATCACTTTGAGTTTAAAGTAAACAAAATGCTTTTTACTAAGCCCTCACACTGCTGACATGTGATACAGACCCTGCACATATCAGATATTATTTTCTTCCTTACTCATTTATTCCTACAGATGGAAAGTTCATATGTCCCTAATTAATATGTTGAAGCCTAACCCTCAGTGCGATACCATCTGGAGATCAGACCTCTGGAAATTGAAAGTTGAGTTCTTATAAACGCAATTACGTCCTAACACAGGATCAGCAAGTCCTTTGCAGTGTGTGACAACGCAATGGGAAGGCTATGACTCATGAACCAGGAAGCCAGCCCTCATCTGAACGAAATCTGCTGGCACCTTGATCTTGGTTTCCCAGTTTCCAGATCTGTGAAAAGTGTTTCTATTGTTTAGAAGCACTCCAGTCCAAGACTTTCTCTTACAGCAACCTGAATGAACTAAGACACGTACCAGCCACAGTAACACCTTTTATTCTTCCAAAAAAAAAAAAAAAGAAAAAGGTTCTATCTTTCCTCTGAAGCATCTGTTTTCTGAAACTTCGATAGCTATTCTTTGCAAGCTGTGCTCCCAATTTTTTTAGGTGTTAATATGAATACCTCTTCCTCCAAGGCTTATCCTTGTCTTTATGATTTATATAAAGCAATGCTCTCGGAATGAGATTACTTCTGTCAGTCACTTGTCCATTTCCTTCATAATTCTCAAATTTTGTTTCAACTCTTGAGCTGCTTTTCATTTTCTAAAACAGTAGATGAGTTCCACATGGCATTGAGCCTCAGTTTTCCTGAAAATCTTTACATTCCTGATATCTTTATCTAGTTCTGGTACTTTTGTGGTAATAGCTACTTATTATAAGAAATTACACTAGATGGGTACATACCAAAATTTCTTCTTAAACTCAGCTTAAGAGCCTGATTTTGTCTTTTTTCCCCGTCTCAATACTCTATAAATTCTCTTTGTCTTTGGACTCTAATGAGATTCAAGACATGAAGGCATTCTTATAAATTTTCATTTCATATCTTACGCTCTAACCAGTGGTATTTTCAATAGCTTTTATTTAAATAGAATGACTTTGCCCGAGAAACATGTGATTTTCAGAGGAAAAGAGGACTTCAACCAGCCCCAGGCTATTTTGTTTTTTTCTGATAACAACGGCTAACTTCTACACAGAGAGAAGTTGCTAGAACTAGTACTTCTGAACTCTCTTCTGACGTCCTTCTAGCTGCATGCATGTTCACGGTCGCAGTTCCCTTTGAAGTTATGTTCCTCATACCCTTCAGGACTGTTTAGTCACCAATTCTTCATTCTGGTGTCAGTTTCCTAGCTGTCAATTCAGGGTACAATGCCTATTTTTTCAGTGAGCCATCACAGGCTGAGTTTGTTAGCTTCACTGTGTGTGCCTGGAGAGCACCAGACCCTATGCTTATTTGGGTAGCCATATCTTTGGTGCTAGAAGAGTAAGCCTTATCTTTATGGCAAAAATAGTCATGATACATGAAACAAGTGTAGTCCTGTATTGATTAAAAATGAATGCCAGTTGCTTTCTATTTCTGATAATACTTACAGACATTTATTACTGTACAACAAAGCTAACATTAAATTCTTAGCATGTTTATTTCTTACATGATCTTATATACAGTATCCTGTAACTTTGTCATTTAAAAATTGTCATCTTGGATTTTTCCCAAGGAGAAGTGCATAACTGTTATTTGGGACTTAGTTTCTTGGTTTATAATATTTAATTATGGGCTTTGTTATCTTTAATAGGAAATAATTGGGCTGTGATACATAGATTTGTTAATATTACAGTCTCATTTGCTAACATGACATAAAAGAACTTGATTCCATGCATTGTCCTCGATTTCCCTTGCTATTTTCTTATTTGGGATTTTGTCATGGAATGTTTTCTAGTCTTACTTCAGGAAGAACTTGTCACCTTCCTTGTAATGACTCGTAGAGGCTGAGGAATATTTCCTCAGTGATCAGTCTCTTTAGTCATGTCTCAATTGATTTGAAAATAACCAAGAAAATGATTCAGTGTATTTGATCATGCAGGTGCTGTTGGTTAACACTGAGTAACTTCTGGACTCTTCACTTCTCTGTTTTCCATGTTCAATAATCTAAGATTCAGGGTGGGCATTTGGCATAGAGGCTAATATTCACTTGGGACATCTGTGATTCTAATTGGAACACCTGGGTTTAAGTTCTGTTTCTGCTTCTGATTCCAGCTTCCTGCTAGTGTAGACCCCAGAAGGTGGCAGGTCAGTTCAAGTGTTATATCCTTGCCAACCACACGGAGACTTGGTTTGAATTCCAGGTTGCTCGCTTTGCTCTGCCCCAACTGCAGTCGTTGTGGACATTTGTAGCGTGAATCAGTGGAAGATATTTCTATTTGTATTTTTCCTTTTGGTTTTCAAAGCAAAGTGAAAATAAGTAAATGAAATGTAAAATATAATCAACTCTTACCATCAGTACAAAGAGGTCCAGATTTCCCATATGGGCAGAGGCAGACAAAATCTGTTCCAGACTTTGGAACACAGGTGGCACCGTTTCCACATGCGTTGTTCTCACAACTTGAAAACTGGCACAGCTTGCCAGAATATAGCCTTGGACACTCACAAAACCAGCTTTCACCATCACTGAGAAAGGAAATGGAATTAAAAAGCAATCAGAAAAAGAATACTTTTCACACTCACCCATGCACACACATATATGCATGCACACATACACAGATAAAATTATAATCACACTTCATCTTTCTTATTCCATTCTGTGTTTCAGCTTTTGAGTATTTTAAGCTGTGTACTTTACATTGGAAGCAGATTAATGGCTTCACAGATTGTCGAAAGCTATGATTTCTATTTTAAACTATCTATTTTTATTTTTGATTTATCCTTTTTTTTTTATTATTCTCTAGGTACCCTTGCAGGGTTTCATTAAATATGTGTGGTTCTGCATCAATAAAGTGCTTCATGTATATTAGGAAAACCATCTGAGGCTCAAAGCTCAGACGAGAATTTTCAGCTGGTGATAAGCTCCGCACACAGAGGGCAAAGTCCTTCAGGAGGTACACTTGTGGTAATTCTGCAAAAAGGCACAGTGGGGAGCTGTAATGACTGCATAACTCTCCAACTTAAAATATGGTTTGGTGGCCCCAGGTCTCAAGTGCTGTTGAAAGCAGAGCCGAGGAAAAATATTCCTCTCGCCTGCCAGGGAAGCAGTCTCGGGAGGCAAAAGCAACTTGGAATTTGTTATTTCTGGCTCCTCTTGTTTCCTTTTCTTCCTATATTTTCTGTTTTTAAAGTGGCAATAGCCTCTGTTTTCCTTCAGAGGTCCCACCCCTCTATATTTTTAATCCTCTGTGGTGTGGGAGGGGACAAACCTGGTCCTTGGTGCCAGTCACATGATTAATATAGGTTGATTGACAAGACCTCAACAGAATTCCTAGCAGAGGGCTTTCTCTCTGCTGCCACTGCTAAGCTGACAGATGCTGTTGGCCCAAGGACAGGCATGGAAGTGACAATGAACGACACAGATTGCTGATGTCACTATTTAGGTACCAGGTCCAGTCACTCTGCTGCTGTGTGAGCTAATATATTCTATTCCTTTTTAATAACTTTAAAGTTAGGGTTAGTGAGGGTTCTGCCATTAGTAGTAAATTAATCCCAATGAATTTTTCTTTTTTTTTTTCTGTAACACACATAACTTATCATATATGGAATGTGCGATTGCATTGATTTTTCCTGTTTACACCTTATCTTCTCAATATGATTGCTAGCTCTTGAGGGTAGATATCAGGACAGACCTCCAAATTTGGAAGCTAGCATACTTCATCTTTCTACTTCTGCCCGTCAGCCTAGTTGCAAAGGTTGTCTAGTCTATGGAATTCCCCTTGCCTCATACACATCTCTGTGTGTTCTTTTCCTTTCCCATATCTTTTCATCTCTTTACTCCAAAATAAATTTGCTGCCAGAAAAGGAGAATTCTTCCAGCCTGATTATACCTGAATTTAAAATATGAAAGGGGTAGCTTTTTTCCCCCAAAAGTCCATTTTTGTACATAATGTTCTATGTTAGGGAGATGAAGCACTATGGAGAAAGATTATATATCAAAGAGAAGGTCACACTGGCTTTGGTGAGATGAAAAGTTCAGGACCCTCAGAGTTTGCCAACACATAAGTCAGTCCTGTAGGTGACCAATAATGTACTCATTTTATAGCCTCTATGGAAATTTTATAGTAATTTATACAAAGTAGCCATATACAGAATCCAACAGGCTTTCAAAGTTGGAGGGGGGAGTACAGATCCATGGCACTAAGTTGAAGATAAAGTATCTTAGGCAAACTCTTCTCTTTCCAAGTTATAAAACAAAATTTTGAGAACTGCTGAGCCAGCCAACACTGTTCCTCATTGCCACAAAGTTATGGTAAAAACATGGCCAGACCACTTGGTGTATATGGAGATATATACTTACATGGGCTAAAGTGTTAGAAATTTAACATTGTTTGGGATCTATTTTAAAACTAATGTAACTTTGCTTCCAACCACCTAACTTGGAATTAAGCTTAGTGTTAAGAATCTATATTCGGGGGTGGAGTTTGAGAGTGTAACTCTTTGGAAAGTTGAATTCCAGAATGATCAAATTAGTCTTATGTTGTTTTTCTTTCTTTCTTTAAGATTTGTGTTTTTTTGAAAGGTAAAGTCATACACATAGAGGGAAAGAGATCTTCCATCCTCTGGCTCACTATCCAAATGCCTGCTGTAGCTGGGAATGAGTCAAGTTGAATCCAGGAGCCTGGAGTTCCCACATGGGTTACCCACATGAGTGGCAAAAGGTGAGGCACCTAGGCTATCCTGCATTGCTTTCCCAAACATATTATCAGATATCTAGATCAGAAAATGGCCCCAGTGTGGTGGCCTAGTGGCTAAATTCTTGTTTTATATGCACCAGGATCCCATACGGGCTTAGATTTGTGTCCCAGTTGCGTCACTTCCTATCCAGCTCCCTGCTTGTGGCCTGGGAAAGCAGTACAGGATGACCCAGAAGAGTCATCCAGGTACCCAGGTGGGAGACCCAGAAGAGGCTCCTGGCTCCAAGCTTTGAATTAGCTCAGTCCTGGCCATTGTAGCCACTTGGGCAGTGAACAGTGAAGAGATCTTTCTCTGTATCTCCTTCTCTGTGTATCTGTCTTTCCAATAAAAAGAAATATATATGCACATATTTAAAATAAAGGAACGCATACTAATTGAAGAGATGCCCATATGGAATTTTAGCATCACAAGTGACAACTTTACATAATATGCCACAATGCTGGACCCAAAATTAGCCTTTTAATGATAAAGCTGACACTACATGTACAAAACTCAAACCAGTCTAAATATTGATTGGACTACTTTAAATGTGTAGCTGTAAATAGATTTGAAACACAGGAAAAAGATTTTTAAGTTAAAACAGTGCAAAGCATTGTTGTTAATTGGGTTCTGTTGATAAATGAAACCTCATTTGCTGTTTATACTTTCATTATTTGTTGTAAGATGTTGATTGTATAAACTCAAGCTGAGGTGACTTACTGTATGTAACTAAGTAGGCAGCCAGAGAAGAGAGAGGGAAAGATATTCACTAGGAAATATTCTAAGAAAGGGGAAAAAAATCCCCTAATACGTGACCAAGGATACAAGTCCAGAGCTCACTAGCCCATCTGGATATTCCATTAGTACACTACAAGAAAAACTTTAGTTTTAATCAGTTAAGATTCTGTCAGATGACGGAATATCTAAACCCTTTACTTCAAATTGTACTTTGGGGTTCAAAAAGACTTCCTCAAACACCAGATATCTCATCTGTAAATCAGTAGGTTTTTTTGCTTGTTTAATTTCTTTGCTAGCAATTGTGCCACAACTGCTCCTGGCTGTTACTACCTAGATCTCGCCAAGGATCTCCATCACTAAGTCCTCACTTGCTGCCAGCTGTTTGCTCTGTAACCTAACTCACTTGGATGCCTCTCCACATCCTGAAGCGAGAGGCATTGTCATCCAGTGAAGAGTGCCCTGATGTGGGCCTTATGTAAGACAACTGACCTTTGGAGAGCAATTGAAACTCACTCCCTACAGCCCTCACCAAGTGGCCCAGTTTCCTTTGCTCCAACCCTGTTGTTTAATTGATTTAATGCTATTTAATGTAATTAGTCATGAGAAAATGCATTTACACAGAACATTTCTTAAGAAAAAATTTAAAATTTTCATCCTTTACAAGACCTGCAAATTATATTGAAACCAGAAATCACTCTTAAAGGAAGTCAGAACATTTTTTTTTTAATTAAAGTAAGTCTGGGAAAGAATCCAGATGTTGGTCACATTTTGACTTTCACATGGGAGCATTATATTTTATTTTGCCGACACCTGTGCACCTATGAAATTGAAAAGCCATGACACAGAATAAATACGAGTCACTTCTATACTTCTTGAGGGAAACAACATAAGCACACAAACTTTTAGAAAATGCATCAAATTTGATGATGAATACACATCAGCAATGATTTTAAGATTTTTTTCCCCAAAAATATATGGCATTCAGATGACATATTTCTATAGCTTGTCTGTGAACTTGCACCACAGAGGAATGTTATCAAGAAGCCTCTATGTGCCTTTAGTAAACGTAGATTTTCAAAAGCTTTACGACTAAAAAAATCAAGGCAAAATGCATTCAATTCCTAAATATAAAACTTGAAACCATAACATTTTAGATGGAAATATTTAACAGGCAATGATATTTTGGTTAGACCCGAAATGCACAAGCAACAAAGGAAAGCCTAGATAAATGGAATTGTGCTATTCTAAGATGCTTTTGTACAACTTGGGCCAGAATTCAGAGTAAAGAGATAATTTACAGAACAGAAAGAAATGCAAACCATTAATCTAACAAAGATTAATGTTCGCCATATCTAAGGAACTCCATAAAGATAGCAACCAAAATAATTCAAATCATCCAGCTAGGAAATGGGAAAGGACTTTTTTTCAAAAGAGAAAAGAAAATGATCAACGTAGCCATAAAAGCAGTTTCAATTTCACTAGTAATTGGGGAAATGCAAACCAAAACCACAATGAAATATTACCTCAATTTTGTTAGGATGGCCATTGCCAGAGAGACAAAAATTGAACAAATTCTGGCAGAGCTTTGAATAAAAGGAAACATACTGTTTAGAAACATACTGTTTAGCAGAATATAACTTAGGGTACTACACAGAAAACTGTGAATTTTTATAAAAAAAAAACCTAAAAATAGGTTCACAATATGACCAACCTATCACACTTTTGGGTGTCCAAAGTAAATGAAATCAGCAAAATGGAAGAAATTCTTGCATTTCGATGTTCACCTGAAGCACTATTTAACATAGCCAAGATACTTAGGCATCAATCAGTGACTGAATGGATTGAAACACACACACACACCCAAACCTGTGAATGAACAGACTGATACACATGTAAACACACACACACACACACACACACACACACACCATTTGGCTATAAAAGGAATGAAATCCCAAAACTGACAGCAAAAAGGATGGAATTAGAGATTATCATGTTATGGAATATAAACCAGATATTGAAAGGCAAGTATGGTATGCTCTCTTTTATAT